GGCGGGGGGGGGGGTGTCAGTCACGTAGAAGGCAGATTCTCAAACAGATCCCGCATGCTAAACAGGTAGAACTGATTAGCTGAACAGTTCAGGCTATCAGACCTGAATGCAAGGGTCGTGAAGCCCCGGTAAACAGTTGCAGTCAAGATCAAGACCATGATCACAACATGATCAGATTGCAGAATAGAAGGGTGGAAATTGAGGTTGGAAGGTTTTAATCAAAAACTTATAAATTACAGTACTTTGGTCTTCCGGTCTTCTGCTTTCTGTCTGCATGTCAAGGACCAAGGGGGTGAAGGGAAAGCCCTCTAACAAAGTTTGATTCGGCTACAATAAAATTTAAGATGCTGAGCAAAAGCGGAAGTAGAGTGTATACTTGTGTTTACAAACTCACAATTTAGGAGAAGACGGCATAGGTGCAGGTGGTAGGGGTGGGCCACTGGCCCCGTGCCAGGGTCCCAGCCCTGCGCCTGGGGGACCCTCTGCCACCCAGGGTCCTGGCCACTGGCCCCAATCCTGGCAGCTGGCCCCAGGGGCTCCGCTGCAGGCCCTGGGGTCCCAGCCCCTAGCCCAGGGTCCCAGCTGCTGGCCCCACTCCCCCTCCTTCTAAATGGAAAAGCACCAGGTTTAAAATGGATTCCAGTATCAGGTGACATGATCACATATCCTGTGAGATCCCTACTCTCCATTCTTCCAGGGCTGGCCCGCACGTACCTCGGAAGGTTTGCAAGTAAACAGACATTTACAACCAATTGTCCTAATCAATGGGAGCCATAAAGATTTTAAACCACCATTAATGGCCCACACTTTGCATAATTGCAATGGGACCTCAGAGTTATACTTCATATTCTAGTTTTAGATACAAGAATGATACATTCATACAAATAGGATGAATATATTCAGTAGATTATAACCTTTGTAATGATACCTTACAAGAGACCTTTTGCATAAAGCATATTCCAGTTACATCATATTCACACTTATAAACATATTCCATAAAACACAGGGAGTGCAATGTCACAATTATATCATACATACATGATATCCCTGTTAGTACAAAAACTAAGTAAGACAATCTGGAGATCTTAGATCAGGTTCTACGAAAGATAAAAGAAACAGGGTTCAAAGTTAGCCCAGGAAAGGCCCAAATTTGTCGGCAACAAGTAAATTACTTAGGAGTAACATTAGGGCAGGAAGGATGGTCACCAGATAAGCAAAGGGTTGAAATACTGCAAAAGTTACCAGCCCCTACAGATATATCAATTTTAAGGCCATCCTTAGGAATGACTAATTTCTCGAGATTTCATAGAAAATTACATAGAAAAGGCCAGTCCGCTCTGTAAGTTATTAAAAAAAGGTAATATGTGGGAATGGGGACTAGAACATCAGGAAGCTTTCATTGAGCTCAAGCAAACATTAGCACAAGCCCCAGGCTTAGCATGCCCAGAAGTAGAACCAACAGCTAGCTACGACCAATACGGGAACAAGTGCAGTCCTTATTCAAGACCATGGTACAGGTCTTTGGCCAGTAGCATATGCTGCCAAAATCCTAAATGGGTAGAACAAGGATTTACTCCTTGTGAAAAAGTGGTGTCTAGCCTTAGTTTGAGCTTTACAGCATTTAGAATATTTAGTGGGACTCTATTCCCTGTGCTGCTAAAAACATCCCATTCAACAATTTAACATGCTGAGCAAAAGCGGCCGTACAAAATACACTTGGGCTTATCGATTCCCAGTGCTGGCTTTGTGGATAAAGGTTTTAGATAAGCAACCTTTTCCATCTGAGCTAGTGCAGCCAGCCACTTTGCAGCCCTGCAACAGAGCCATAGGTAAAGGTGGGATTTCCAAAAGCGGTTAAGTGAGTTAGGAGCATAAACAGGTAGAAGCAAACTATATAGGGCTAGGTCGTAGCTTTAGGCACAGCCCTATAGAAATGGTGGTGGATAGCTGCACCACACTTCTAGGAGACCCTTCAGTTCCTCCTCTTTCTCCTCCCTTGCTGCAGGGTTGGGACAAGGAGTACTTTTCTACAGCCCCGTACCAAGCACCGAACAGCGTACTCTGGCTTGTGCCTTAGAGCAGTGGTTCTTAACCAGGGTTACACGTACCGCTGGGGATACACAGAAGTCTTCCGGGAGTACATCAACTCATCTAGATATTTGCCTAGTTTTACAGCAGGCTACATAAAAAGCACTAGTGAACTCAGTATAAACAAAAATTTCATACAATGACTTGTTTCTACTGCCCTATGTACTATACACTGAAATGCAAGTACAAATGTAAGTAACTATATAGTAAAAAGGAGAAAGTCATCAATTTCCCACTAATAGTGTGCTGTGACACTTTTGTATTTGTATGTCTGATTTCGTAAGCAAGTCGTTTTTAAGTGAGGTGAAATTTGGGGGTACACAAGACAAATCAGACTCCTGAAAGGGGCGCAGTACTCTGGAAAGGGTGAGACATTGCCTCAGAGGGTGCAGAATCAAGGCGTGGCTCACCCTCTGCCCCTCTCCAAATCCTCCCTGCCAAACCTGCGAGCATGTGGAGGACAGCTCTTCGGAACCTGCTCTTCCTCCCCACCCCCGACTAGAAATGCAGGGAAGCTGCAACATGGGAGTGGGATGGGAGTTTGCAGGCCTATTCGAGCTAGTCACAATTTAGCCCCTAGACACAACCACCACCCACCCCAGAGCCCAAGCGCCAGTCCTGTGATCTTTGCTCTAGGCGTAATTTAGGTGCATGTATGGGGTTGAGGTGACACTCTGTCGCTGGTCACAGGTTAGTGTCAGACACAGCCCCAGTCCCTGACAGAATGAATCTGCAGCTTAGGTTGTACTGAGCATGCTCAGTAACATCTGCTGAAGGGGAAGGAGCCTCCTGATCTGCCCTGACCCTGCTGAGACACCCCACCCTGCTGTCGGGGTCTGATGTCACGCCCTCCCCTTGGGTGATGTTTGCAGCATGCATGAAAGATGTGGCTGCTGCTGCCCCTTAGTCCCTCACCCCCTTTGCTGCCCTCTGCTCTGCACCTGTGGTGCAGCCCCTGCGCCCCCCACCCTGGAGCTGGCTGCAGCTGCTTGGGGCCTGGAGACTCCTAATCTATGCAGAGCCAGGCAGGTGCTGAGGGTGGGGTGTCCCCCCACCCTCGTGTGCGTGGGCAGCACATGCCCCTCATCCCAGGCTCTGCCCCACTGAGAGCGTCCGGGGGCAGGTCGGGACAAGGCTTCGAGGCTGCTGCCCCAGCACATTCGGGGCAGGGAGAATTATCCTGCCAGCCAGCCCAGCTTTGGAGGTTTCGGGCTGCAAGAGCAGCGCTGCAGAAGGGCCACCTGGGAATCTTTCCCTGATGGGAAGAAACAAGCATGTGCGGTCGTACCACAAATATTCTTTAAATTCCACTTCAAACTTGCACAATTGTTTCCTAACTGGCTAATGTGTTGTGAACGGCAGTGCCCTAGTGTGCCCATTTATTCTGCCAGTTAGTCCCCCTTGTCTCTGAGAGTCTTTCCTTTGCCTACAATGGGCTTTGGGTCAGGTTACCAGGCAGGTCCATATAGGCATATAGACACAGAAACACCGATTTCTCTGGGAATGCCTTCATCTTACCAAATCTCCCCAGGGCTTTTAAATTACTCTTATTACTTTTCATCATTCACCTTTGCTAGCACGGTGCAGATGCAGGGCATTGTGCTATTTAATTTACATTTTAATACTCAAATACTCGAAAATATGTGTCAGTAAATAGTTGCTAGTCGTTTTAGCAATGACCTCTTTGTTTCCAATAGAGCAGTTGCTGTGTTTTTTACTGTGATTTTTAATTTGGAATTTTAATTTGACATTTGGGTGACTCTTTCCTGAGACATCGGGATGGAACGAAGTGGGTATCGATTGACCAGGTGGTGTAAAACCGTCGCATGGGAAGGCGCCTCTTTCTACAGTGCAAATCAGCATTGATTTGCTTTAACTTTTTGTGTTTGGCTTTGAGATCGGCTTCACATCTCCCGCTCGGCTCCAAAAAGCCGATTTCCATGACCTGCCTTCGTGGATTTTGCCACTGTGCCGTATTCCGACCTCACTAAGGCCTGGTCTACACTACGAGTTTAGGTCGACTTTAGCCGCGTTAAATCGACTTAAGCCTGGACACGTTTACACTACGAAGCCCCTTCTGTCGACTTAAAGGGCCCTTTAAACCGGTTTCCTAACACCACCTTGACAAGGGGATTAGCGATAAAATCGGCCTTAGGGGGTCGGAATTGGGTTAGTGTGGACGGAATTCGACATTACTGGCCTCCGGGAGCTATCCCACAGTGCTTCATTGTGACCGCTCTGGACAGCACTCTCATCTCAGATGCACTGGCCAGGTAGACAGGAAAAGCCCCGCGAACGTTTGAATTTCATTTCCTGTTTGCTCAGCGTGGAGAGCACAGGTGACCATGCAGAGCCCATCAGCACAGGTAACCGTGATGGAGTCCCAGTCCCAGGATCGCAGAAGAGCTCCAGCCTGGACCGAACGGGAGGTACAGGATCTGATCGCCATCTGGGGAGATGAAGCAGTGCTCGCCGAACTCCGAAACAGTAAAAGAAACGGCAAAACGTTAGAAAAGATCTCCAAGGCCATGAAGGACAGAGGCCATAACAGGGACGCGCGGCAATGCCGCGTGAAAATTAAGGAGCTAAGGCAAGCCTACCACAAAGTCAGAGACGCAAACGGAAGGTCCGGGGCGTGACAGTCCCTATAACAGCGGGACCTCTGGTCCCCCTCCCAGCACCGACACGGGGCGCTGAGCTCGGCCCCTCAGGGGGTTCTGGATTGACAGCGCCGTGCAGGCCGCGGGCACTGTCTCCATGGCAACACTTGGAACTGGGGGAGCAGGGCATGCTGGGACATATCCGCGGATTTAACCACCCTCTCCGCCCCGCTTTGGTACGTCACTTCCGGGGAGGCCGCGTTTGATTCGCTGCTGTGAGAAGTGCCGCCCCTGCTTCCGGCCTGCTGGGTGTTGACAAGATGGCGGCGATCGCGGGGCTGCAGGGACGGGTGGAAGCGCACGAGCGGCAGGTGTTCGGCCCGAGTGGGGCCAGGCAAGGGGCGGGCTCCTCAGCACCCCCCGCTCGGCCTGTGTGTGACCCCCCCCGGAGTGGGCCCCGGGCGGGAAGCTGCTGGGCTGGGCTAGCGGGGATCGTTCCCTGCGGCTCGGGGCATAGTGCCGGGGCAGGTGGCTCCAGCCTCCGCATTGGGGGCAGCAGCCCGGGGATTGGCCCCCGAGGGGCTCATGGGCGGAAGGGCGCGCGGGGGGGGTTGGTCCCCGAGGGGCTCATGGGGGGAGGGAGGGGCGTGCGGGGGGGGCTTGCCCCCCCGAGGGGCTCATGGGGGGGGGGGGCTTGCTCGCTCCACTCCTGCCCTGAGCGATGCTCCCCGGCCAGCAGAGCTCCCCCGGGGGCGGGGCCCTGAGGGATAGGGCGGAGCCTTTTGTCCCAATGCCCCTGACGGGCTGCCTAGCTCGGGCTGCTTCATTTACTTCTGAGCTGCAGCCACCCCTGGGGTAGAACCTGAGCTCTGTTTAGCAGCCTGTAGTAACGTTCCGGAACCATTCCGGCCGCTAGTTGAAATATGCTGCGTGTGAATGGTAGTAACCGAAACGGTTTTAAATAGACATTTTATCTTCTCTCACTGCTGGTCTGTTCCTGACAGTTTAGTTGTGGGATCCTAGTTAGAAGTGTCACTTAATCATTCTTTGGTTTATAACACCATCGCTTTCCTTCTAGGCAGCAGATGGCTTGGTGAAAGTTCAAGTGGCTTTGGGGAACATTGCAAGCAAAAGAGAGAGAATTAAAATTTTGTATAAGAAAAGTAAGTATTCGTCCAGCGTTTGTGGTTTTTTTACCCCCAGGGTTTAGATCCAAATTGTATTTTACATGGTGGTCTTGTTGGGTGGCCTGTCTGAGATCATTTGAGTTGAGTTTCGGAGTGGGTTTAAAAACAACCCTCATAATTAGCTCCTTGGGAGGCAAAGGACTGAGTAGACAAGCTGGCATCTCTCGAGTGCAGTGTACCTCTTGAGAGGTGAGAGTAAGGAATCTACTTTGGTTTCTGTTTCGGTATCCGAGATCTAAAACCTAAGGTTTCAGCTTTACTCCTTCCCTAGGACTGTGTGCGCTATCCCCTGTGATCAGATTCCCCCTAGAAATCCACAGCCCATCAGGCCTGATGTCGTCAGAAAGGGGTAGTACATGTTCAGTGTATGTCCACCTGCAGAAAATCAGGGGCTTTGACTGCTCACTGGCATTGGAGCTTATTTCTCCCGGTTGAGTGTAGCCATACCCTCAGATTGCAAGCAACCTTGGGATTTTTGTAACGGGGAGAGATGTCGCAAAAAGAGCATGCTGTGCCTGGAGGGGACAGAGTGGTGCCACTTTAGCACACCCTCAGCCAGCTTCAGAAGGCAAGACTTGCGTGTGTAAAGGAAAGACATTTCAGAGGGCAGGGGAAGTAGCAGGCCACATGACAGAAAGTGAGCACTCTGTGCCCTCCCTTTAAAGAATGGACTGTGAATTCTGCAGTTGAATTTAAAATTGGCTAATGTGATACTTAGCAGGTTAGTGGGATCTTCTGTAAATAATGGGCACCTATTGGTGTTGGGCCATGTGTGTACACACTTTTTTAATAAAATCAAACAAGGAAACTTAGGGGGGCTTGGTGCAGCAGCAACTTTGTACTGTTGAGTTAAAAGCCATTCCTCTCCGATCCCCCACTGACGATGCCTCTGCATCTTGGTACATCTGAATTGTCGTCTAAAATAGTGAGCTGGCTCAGATTTGTAAGCTCATTCATGTGGTCTATAAAGTGCTGTGAACGGTCATGGTACTGTAGAAGTACTGTAACTGCTGATTCTTTTTAGCAAAATCTTGTAGTGAGTAGGAAATTGTGACAGGCAGTACTTTCAGAACTAGTCACTTCTCCTCTCTCCCTCCCTGTCACCTACTTCTGATCTTAGTTGAAGATTTAATAAAATATCTGGATCCTCAGTACATTGATCGAATGGCTGTTCCCAATGCCATGAAACTGCAGTTCATCTTAGCAGGTACGTCATGAAATGGAAGGAGTATGCTCATTCCCCAAAAGCTCACAAGACAAGGTGGGGGCGGGGATTTTAATTGAATGCAATTCATTTAATCTCTCTCAACCATGGGTTTAGGACAGAAATGCCTGCTTTGGTGTCTAGTCTTCCCCTGTAAACTGGCTAATGCTTCAGTAAAAGATCAGAAATGGAGAAACTACAGTATGAATTGTACAGAGAACAAGAAGTGTGGTTCAGTTCCCAGTCTCTGGCTCCCTGGCAAGCACTTGGAATGCAACTGGCACAGTGGAGCCAGTTCCTTCATGAGGAGTGCTTTTCTCGCTATTGAAGGCCTTCCCTGAATGATTAAGGAGCGACATTGGCTCCCTCTGAGTCTGTCTGGCCTTTGGTCAGAAGTTTGGAGGGGGAAAGGAGTGTGTGGAATTGTTGTCCTAAGTCTAGCAACTGTTACAGTAACAAAACTGCTCTTATGAACACTGAAGTGTGTATATACTGTGAACTTCTAACCCTGTCCAGCTCTCACACAGGGGATCTGAGTCGCGCCTCTCCTGTGGTAGGTGTGTGTAACTCCATTGTCTCCAGTGGCGTTTCCCCCAATTCAAACTGGTGTAAGTGTGGGAGAGTCAGAGCCATGAGGTTGACTTTTAATGGGGCTCAACAACTGAGCCAGTGAAAGAGCAAAAAGCATGTGCTTTTTCCATTGCTAGCTTAGTGAGGAACATCCTGGCTTCTGCTCCTGGTTCTTCCCTTTATATACTGTGTGCCACCTTTGAGCTTCTGTTTCCCCATCTGATAATGCCTACTCCAGAAAAGGGTGGGGGATGTTTGCGAAAGGCACAGAGATCCTTGGTTGAAAGGTGCGATGGTAACGCAAAGTATCATTGCGGTGAAGTCTTTCTGCTGCATGTAGGGTTGATTGCCTTATGAGAAGGGGAAGCTGAACCAGGCCAATTAATCAACTTATTTTTTCTCATCTGTGAAAAGCTGAAATAGTGTTTGCCTTAAACTTCTCCTTCTCTGTCCTTTAAACCAGAGGAGCAGTTTATTCTTTCCCAAGTCGCCCTTCTGGAACAGGTGAACAACCTCCAGCCGTTCTTGGACAGTGCACACATCAAAGGTAACACATGCTCATCTGCAAGCTACCTTTTCATAGCGGCTGTCCTGCGGTTAGCGAAGACAAGTGGCCTCTTTCGTTACCCTGGCACTAAGAACAGTGTGGAAATGCTGTTTTTAAAAGTTCTCTAGCTGCCTGCCTCAAATAACCGGAAACCATTGTAAGAGTTTCCAACTCTGACGAGTTTGCAATCTGAGCGCTAAAGCAGTGCAGCAGCATGCAGAAAAAATGCAGAATGTGGCATGGCCGTCCTCTTCAGCAACATGGGCTTGAATGTATTCTCCTGGCTACGATACTGCCACTGTACAGGAAGGCTGAATTTAAGTGACACCAAGGCCATGCTATACTTGCTGGATTGTTAAATATTCCTGAGATGCTGGTCCAGTGAGCCAGCGTAATCGTGGGGGGAAATGGAGGCCAACAGATACAAACTTTATAGAATCCTTAGACTCTTATGGGAAAAACCCAGTGGAACATCTCCTTTCTAAGGTGTAGCTTCCTGTTCACTGAGGCTACGTCTTCACTACCCGCCGATCCGGCGGGTAGCAATCGGTTTATCGGGGATCGACTTACCGCGTCTCGTGAGGACGCGGTAAAATCGATCCCTGATCGCTCTGCCGTCGACTCCGGAAATCCACCTCGACAAGAGGCGGCAGCGCGGCAGCGGTCGGCTTTCCCCCGTCCTCACCACCAGGTAAGCCGACCTAAAATACGCAACTTCAGCTACGGTATTCACGTAGCTGAAGTTGCGTATCTTAGGTCGGAACCCCGCTGTAGTGTAGACCTAGCCTAAGTATCCCTGCTCCTTGCATGGTGAGGTCTCTGTAGTCTCCATGCAGTTGCTTACCAGTAATAGCCACATATAGTAATCCAGTTGTGTGCTTCATACAAGTCTCTTGGGCATCTAATCCTCAGCTTGGGACCCATAGCTCCTGGCCCCAGAAGCAGCAGAGGGGTGACTTTGGAAAGTTGTTTTCAGTTGGTTCTGATCAGCGTATACACAAACAACTAAAATGTTAGGTTTCAGAGTAGCAGCTGTGCTAGTCTGTATCCGCAGAAAGAACAGGAGTACTTGTGGCACCTTAAAGACTAACAAATTTATTTGAGCATAAGCTTTCGTAGGCTACAGCTAGGGTGACCAGATCACCCAGATCAAATATCAGGATGCGGGCAGGGGGCGGAGCAAAAAAAAATGGTGGCAGAGAAAAAAACAACCCCCCCCCACCTCCACAAGCGCTGGAGGGAGGCCCCGGAGATGCAGGGGGAGCGCGGGGCTGGGGTGAATGAGAGTCTGGCCTGGCCCCGAGCGCAGGCAGGACTCAGTCGGGCGGTACCTGGAGGGAGAGTAGGGGGGCGGCCCGCGGGGCCAGGCGGCGGCTGTTCTCCCCCCTGGGCAGCGGGACTCAGGAGCAGCCGCTGCTGCAGCTCCCACTGCCGCGGGGGGAGGAAGCGGACGCTGGCCAAGCTCGGCGGCTGCCGCTCTGGCGCCCGCGAACCCCCTGGGCCTGTTGTGGGGACCCAGCAGCGTGCACGCTGCACCCAGCCCCCGGCCAGTTGTGTCTGGGCTGCTGCCCAGCTGGTGCAATCCCGTGGGCGGCCCCGCAGGGGAACGAACAGGGCTGGGCTGCCAATGCCTCCGCCCCGGGGCTGCCGTGGGATTGCACCAGCTGGGCAGCAGCCCAGACGCAACTGGCCAGGGGCTGGGCGCAGCATGCGTGCTGCTGGGTCCCTGCAACAGGCCCGGGCCCAGGGGGTTCGGGCGCCAGAGCCGCAGCCGCCAAGCGCCATGGCCGCTTCCTCCGGCTGTGGCAGTAGGAGCTGCAGCAGCGGCTGCTCCCAAGTCCCACTGCCCAGGTTGGGAGAACAGCCGCCGCCTGGCCCCGCGGGCCACCCCACTACTTTCCCTCCAGGTACCGCCCGACTGAGTCCTGCCTGCGCTCGGGGCCAGGCCGGACTCTCACTCACCCCGGCCCCGCGCTCCCGCTGCGTCTCCGGGGCCTCCCTCCAGCGCTTGTGGAGGGAGGAGGAATGGCGTGCTTGGGGAAGAGGCGAGGATTTGGGGAGGGAGCCAATGGTGGGAGGAGGGGGCGGAGTCGGGGCGAGGGGGGGGCGCGAGCCCTTCCGGGCTCCGGAGCCTTTGCTTGTTTGTCCAGTGTCCCGACCTAACATTGGTCGGGACGTGGGACAAACAAGCAAATATTGGGACAGTCCCGATAAAATCGGGACATCTGGTCACCCTAGCTACAGCCCACTTCATCAGATGCATGAACTCCTGTTCTTTTAACTAAAACGTTGGCATTTCACTTACTTTGCAGGAAAGTGGCAGTAACCAGTGGTGGTCTGGTGGCCAGCAGTATTTATCTTTGGCCTGGTCTACACTACCCCCCCACTTCGGACTAAGGTACGCAAATTCAGCTACGTTAATAACGTAGCTGAATTCGAAGTACCTTAGTCCGAACTTACCGCGGGTCCAGACGTGGCAGGAAGGCTCCCCCGTCGATGCCGCGTACTCCTCTCGCCGAGCTGGAGTACCGGCGTCGACGGCGAGCACTTCCAGGATCGATCCCAGAACATCGATTGCCTGCCGCCGGACCCTCCGGTAAGTGTAGACATACCCTTTGGGGCATTTCTGAACTGTAATGTGCTTCGGCTGACAAGAAATGTATTAAATTAATCCCAATAGAAAGATTTTAAACCTGCTCTTAGACAGTCGTCTCTTTACTTTGGTAACTGCAATTCCCTGGATGTCAAAACTAAGCAGGGACTGACTTTTGTTCTGTGTTCTTTGCAGCTGCTCCTGACCATGCTGCCAAACTGCAGCGACTTGCTCAAATCCACATCCAGCAGCAGGTAGAGTGAATACTCATCATGGTTAACCTTCAGTGGGCAGGGGTGGGGCCTCTTGTTAACCATAGGTAATTCGTGGGCAAGGATGTGGTAATTAGTAACACAGACTAGAGCCACTCTAGTTAAGATTATCAGTATTTCTTCTTTCCATTACATTGTTTCAGTTTGTCCAAATCATGGAATTTCCAGGAGTCAGAAGAGATCTCTGCTCAGGAACATCTCCGTGTACAAATAGCTTTGGGTGGCTTTTTAAAAACCACAGTGGGGATCCTAACTGCTAATTCCCCCAATACTAGGCTGAGATCCCGACAGCATAGCAAGGCAATGTGGCCTCCCTCCAACACAGAGGGGGAGAGACGACCACCCCACCTGACTACAGTCCCTTTCCCAGTTTAGGTGGGTGGGAATCTGAAAATCAGTTCACATAAAATAAGCAGCTCAATTTACAGCACTGGGTAAAGGGCCTGCCTCAAGGCCTAATCCATTGAGCATATTGTATCTGATTCCAAGGAGAGGAAGGCGTGCCTGCCCTGCCTTCCCTGAGAAGTCTTCACTGAGGCTGTGTTAGTGGTTAGTATATTTGGTTGCTTTTCTCTGACAGAAACGGATAGAGCTGTTCCAAACAGAGCTGAAGTCACTGCGGCAAGAAGGATTTCTTGATGATGAATTGATTCTCTACTTCAGTGGAGTTGTCACTGCAACTCTCTGGCTAAATGTGCATGATTGGGTCTCCTTCTGGTAGCTGGTCCACTTGGAGGATTAGAGCTGGCTTACTCCGCTAATAGAGTAACTCCTTTTACTGAAGCAGTGCAGGGGCTCTTGCAGCTGAAGGTCCTGGGTTCTATCCCTAGCGATGACGGTGGTGTCCACACAAATACAGCCTCAGGTTAACCACAGCACTCTTAGTGCATGATTGCAGCAGGGGTCCCAGACACACCAGAGGTGGGTTGTCAAGGAAAACTCATTCTCCTAAAAACGGAGACGATGGGGCAAGCTTGTCCATCCAAACAGAAAAGAGAGGCACAGGCGTATTTGCAGTCTCCTGTTTTCTTTGAATGCTGAATGGTGTCTAATATCTGTTTTTTTCCACATTTTCAAGGCAGTCACAGAGTTTATTACAAGCAACAAGTCCAAGATAATAGAACACTGGATGTATTGACATCTGCACGCAGACAGCAGGTCTGTGTTTGATGGCTTGCTGCACACAGTTAAAGAAATCCTGGAGAAGAGCTACACCCCAGGAGAGATGTAAGAGGCTGGAATTGTATAATTAGACCTTTCTGTAGCTCTCTCCATTCCCTCACACTGCTTCCTGCCATATCCTTCCTAGCCAATGAGGTCCTGTCACTGCTGGCTATGGGCCTTTACGGATGGGATTTTCAAAAGCACTCCGCGCTGCCCTGACACTGCCGCCATTGAAGTCAGGGGAGATTGACCATAGACTTCGCTGGGAGCAGTTGCACTAGTGCAGAGCACTTTTTTGAAAATCTCACCCTAGGAGCTTTCTCACTGCTGTGCCCTGACAGGATCTGAACACTCTTAACATCACCAGGTGGATGGCACTAGACCAAGGAAATTTGTTTAGGTTTTTACTTGGTCCCGGAAATGTATAATCTGGAGTTCCAAAGTCCTGAAACAGTTGGTCCCAAATTACATCTAGAGGCCTGAGGTGTCCCTTACAGGATAGCAAACATAATTACGGAGGCCATGCGGTGGAGTGAATAAGGCATTGGATTGAGAGTCCGGAAAGCTGGGTTGAATCCCCGACCCTGCCACTGACTTGCTTTGTGACTGTGGGTATGTCACGTAACCTCTTTATGCATTTATGGTTCCATTTGTACAACTGAGATTACAATACTTCACTTTCTTTATGAAGTGCTTGGAAATCCTTGGATGGAAACACTGTATAAGTACATCTTATAAGACTAAGGGTTAGTGGGCTTTGGTTTTTAAACTTAACTCTCTCTTCCCATCATGGAAACTTGATCATTTGGATTCCTTAGCCTTGAAAGACCAATGTTCCCTCTAATTTTTTACATCCATGTGCAGAATGAATGTTGTTATATGATGGAGGTGATGAGTGGCAGGGGTGGGGCCGAGGGGTTCAGAGTGTGGGAGGGAGCTCAGGGCTGGGGCAGAGGGTTGGGGTGTGGGCCCTCCCACTTGAATTCAAGTGCTTTGCCTGAGAGGTTCTGAGTCGGCATACTTTGATTATGTAGAGTGGGATATTTTTCAAAAGCAGTCCGCATTGGCTTATCTCTGCTCCCACTGAAGTTCTCCCATTGACCCCAGTGGAGGGGAGATAAGCAAACACCAAGTGCTTCTGGAAATCCCACCCAGAAACTTTAATCCTTCCTCAAATGCAGGTTTACTGACACAAATGGGAGTAATGGAATAAATTGTAATTTGAAAAGAACTTTGTCATACCTCCAACACTGAAGCTGATTATTTAAAAAAAAAAATAACCCACACAACAACACTGGTGTTCGCTTTTTAAGTCTTTAAAGATAGCTGTATAGAAGTTTATAATATTTTCTGTTTCTTTAAACTAGCTTATCCTACCCAATCTTTCTTCTTCTTTTTGAAAACACAGCTGCTATCACCCTCTCTTCCTAATGAAGCTACGTTTTATCAAAGGTTCTCTGTGAACAGCTTGCTTGAGCGGGCATTCGTACTTTCGATGTCATGTGCTCGGGGACAGAGCATTGCTGGCGTAAAACCAGCAGAGGGAGCTACATTACTTTTCAGGGTAGTGTAAAGGTTTTTACTACAGATGGTGAAAACATTTCATACTTCAAAATTTGGAAGGCCTTTTTTCCCTTGAAATTTTGACAAATAAGAATAAAATTGTGCATAAATTCTGTTTTTT